GGTGGTGCTGTTGTTGTTGGTGGTGGTGGTGGTGGTTATGGTGTTGTTGTTGTTGTTGTTGGTAGTGGTGGTGGTGTTATTGTTGTTGGTGGTGGTGGGCACATCTCTACGGGGGTCTTGTCTTCCTGCATAGGAGAGCGCTCTTGTTATTTGATTGTTTTTTGTTGTTGGTTTGTTTTCTTTGGGGTTTTTTGGGGGGGAGTGTCTTTTTTGTTGTTGTTTGTTTAGTTGTTGCTTTTTTTATTTTATCAGTAAGCGCTTTACGACACTTGCAACACAATTAGGTTTTATAAGTGCCGAGGATTACAAGCGTTGCAAGAGAGTAAAATACACAAAAAAGAAGAAAGAGAGATAAGGACTATAGATGTTTGGTAGGAAAGAAGGAGAAAACCGCGCCAGAGCACCCGCCAACCACCCACTAAGCACTCTGGTTGTGATAAGGAAGGACACTGCTAGGATCAGGAGATAGTGCCCCAGGTAAGCGGGACGGACACTGCTGAAGCTGATGAGGCATGGAGAAATCCGGGTCTCGATTACTTTCAGTGGATGGAATGCTGTCCTCTTTTTAAAAAAGGGATAAGAGATAGCCTCCTCTCTTAACAAATCCGGAAGGTACATGTATTTATTTACATGTACAGTCGAACCTGTGTAAGACGACCACCCGTTGTCGAGGAGAAAAGTGGCCGTCTAAGACAGGTGGTGAGGATTACAAGTGTTGCAAGAGAGTAACAAACACAAAAAAAGAAGGAAGAGAGATCCGGACGATAGATGTTTGATAGGAAAGAAAGAGCATACCACACCAGAGCTCCCGCCAACCACCCACTAAGCTCTCTGGTTGTGCTAAGTACACTACTAGGATTAGGAGATAATAGTCCCCTCTCTCAACAAATTTGGAAGGTACGTAATGTATTTATTTTTAACTAGTACAAGAACATCAACTTCACAGCTGCCGTCTTTAGATGTGAACTAAAAAAACGTAATGAAGGAAAGCGAATCCACACTGTCGCTTCATGTCCCTTCCCATTCGCCTTTCTTTCCTCACATTTTTTGAGGAGGCGAAAGGGGAGGAAAGGACGATCCACTGTGTTTGTATCTTTAAGCAGATGGCGTCTAAGGTAGGACTGATCAAAATGAGGAAAAGACATCCTGCTCTTCTTGGGTCCCAACCGGAGGTGGCTGCAGCCTCAGGACTTGCCATATGTCTAATCAATTTGAATTTTCATATTTTTTTCAAAGGAGAGAGCAGGAAGGTGCTTTTGGGGGGAGGAGTTTGTTTTCTGTTGTTGTAGTTGTTGTTGTTTTTTACGTTAGTTTTTTTCTGATTGTGTGCAAGGGTAAAACAAAACGAAATGCGTCAGACCAGGATAAGTGAGTGCCATGGTAAAATAAATCTGCTGACACTGGTGACTTTCTGAGTTTAAAAAAAAAAGTGTATGTCCTCATACTTAGTCGCTCTTCCCTTAGAAAAACAAACAAGAAAGAAACAAAATAAAATCCAAAACAAGGGACATTCATGTATGTATGTATGTATGTGTATGTGTGTGTGTGTGTGTGTGTGTGTGTGTGTGTGTTTGTGTGTGTATGTGTGTGTGTGCGTGTGTG